TCTGGATGGTATTACGTAAAACTGTCATAGTTGGGTCTTATTTGCCAACACTCACACACAAATAAGTGCAAAGCGAATGTTGTCCGACCAGCTCCCAGACGAGAGCTTAGGCTGATGCACGGAGGCCTTGTCACCCACGGCAGTCGGGTTTTCCTGTGTAACAGGTGAAAACCAGACCACAGACTTGACAACAGTCCCTGATCCGAGCAGTGCTGGACAAGGCTAGATTTTCACAGGTCTTTTACGCTAAACCAGACCGAAATGTGAATTAAAAAGAAAAACAGCATGCCAGCTCCATGGCCGGGCGGTTAAGGTGGCAGGACCCCACATGACTGCCTACACGGTTCAAGGCTCGGACCTGGCAGGTTGAGAAACACACCCAGCACGTGTGTGCATGCCCCCAACCCCAGACGGAGGGAGAAATGGAGAAAAAGGGATTATAGGGTGACTACTTCCCCTGGGGGTGCCCTCTCTCTCTTGTTCTCTCTTCAGCAAGTGCATGCACCCTGTCCTGTAAATTTTTCTCTAATTAAAAAAAAATTAAGATGTTATTTCTGTATTTTCATTGTTAAATTCTGCAGAATCTACCTCACTGTCACAAAGATACACACTTTTAAAGAATTTGAATCTATGGAAACTTAGCAATAGCTGGCCTATTTGAATAAATAATATCGCCAAAGGCAGTTTTCAAACTGAAAAATACTATTTTTACAGTCTCGTTACGTAAGAATTGTATAGTTCTTGATGCCTAATTTGGAATTCACTTTGGGAAAAAAGTCAGGAAAAGGACATGGTCATTTAGCCTCTTCTTTTTAGTGGAAAGAAAAATACAATTATAACCATAGTTTTCAAAAGAAAAATAAGCTTTCTTTCTTACAGCTGCAGCCTGGGGAACCGGGGAGGAGCTTTCCTATCCAACTACGCTCTGGTTCCGGCCGTCAGCGGAGGGCTCCGGACAGAGCGCCGACAGCGCACAGGACTTTCAAAGAAATGCTGGGACGTCGGGAAGGCCAGGGTGTATTTCTATGTTTGTCTATGCAGAAGCGCATCATGACTTTGCCAACGACCCACTATGATGCTAGGAAATAGAATGGTGGTTTTATGATGGTGCTATGTGTCCCGTGGGCTAAAGGGTGCCCATAGAACTGCAAAAACATATTTCTAGGTGTTTGAGGGTATTTGAGGAAGAGACTGAACCGGTGAATCGGTGAGCTGAGTATAGACCTCCCTGGCCAGTGGAGGGAGGCCTGGTCTAACCCAGAGAGGGTCTAGGTAGAACAGGAAGGGCAGGAAGGTTGAACTGGCTCTCCCTGCTTGAGTTCAGACCACCATCTTCTCCTGCCCCTGTCATCACGGTCCCTGTCCTTGGGCCTTCAGGGTGGACCAACTCTGCCCCCAGCCTCCCGATCCTCCCACGCGCAAACGGCCGGTGGCGGCACCCCTGGGCCTCCGGAGGTCATTCTGTGAGCCGGTCTCCCTCAGCCCTCCCCGTGGGCACAAGTACAGAGACCTCTCACTGTCCCCTTCTCCTGGCACGCCGACTTGCAGCCCTGGAGCTCCCGGAGTGCCAGCTCACGGCTGGTTGGGCTCTGTGTTCGACCTGACTCCGGGACGCCTTGGCCTGTGTTGAACCTGGCTCTGGGGACACCGTAATCTGTACTGCTGCCATTGGCTGACTTACCCACGTTGCTAGTCAGGTATATCTTCAGTAAATACCCATTTTCAAATACATGTTGCAGTTTCTTTTTTTCTACAAGGCATAATCCCTATCTTCCACTACCACTCCCTCCCCAAAAGAAAGAATAGGAAGATCAGGTGACACATACTCAAACAGTCGCAGAGAACACAGACTTTAAGCAGACTCTTTAAAAAAATATTTATTTATTTATTTTCAATTTGCTATAGGGCATGTGTGTTCACCAGAGACAGAAAGAGAAAGAGTCCTCTAGCCCTCTCCCAGGTCTCGTGGCGAGGAAGCCAAAGGAACTCAGCGGTGCAGTGCTCTCCCGTCGCTGCCGCGGCCCCACGGCCTGACTCCCGGGACAGCGGGCTTACTCAGAAAACACTCCTCCAACAGACCGCGCGGAGGCCCGGCCGGGAGTATGGGAGTATTCTACGTGAGTGCGAAACTCCCCAGCCCATTAGTGGTTATTCACAGTCAGGAGAGCCCGCCGGGAAAACTCCGGCTTACCCTGGTTCTGAGACTGCAGCTTGCACTCAGCAAGGCAAACCCTTCAGGTCCTGTGACTGCTCAGTGGCGTCTACAAGAGACCGCCAGGGATGGTGACTTGGACGTGACTTCTCTGCTGGGGAGGCCTCGGAGCCCCAGCCTCCTTTTCTCACTTCCCCTCTACGTGGTCCTAACGCCTCCCACTCCCCTGCGTGTGACGCCGCATGGTCCTACCCCCCCCCACTGTCCTGCATGTGACACCGCGTGGTCCTACCCCCCCACTCCCCTGTGTATGACGACGCATGGTCCTACCCACCCACTCCCCTGCGTGCGATGACACATCGTCCTACCCACCCACTCCCCTGTGTGTGATGACATGTGGTCCTACCCTACCCCCACTGTCCTGCGTGTGATGATGCGTGGTCCTACTCCTCCAACTCTCCTGTGTATGACAATGCGTGGTCCTACCTATGACGACACATGGTCCTAATGCCTCCCACTCCCTTGCATGTGATGACACGTGGTCCTACCCCCCCAGTCCCCTGTGTATGATGACATGTGGTCCTACACCCCCACTCCCGTGTATGATGACACGTGGTCCTACCCCCCACTCCCTATGTATGATGACACGTGGCCTACCCCCCCACTCCCTGTGTATGATGACACGTGGTCTACCCCCCCACTCCCCTGTGTATGATGACACGTGATCTACCCCCCCACTCCCCTGTGTATGATGACACGTGATCTACCCCCCCACTCCCCTGTGTATGATGACACGTGATCTACCCCCCCACTCCCCTGTGTATGATGACACGTGATCTACCCCCCCACTCCCCTGTGTATGATGACGCGTGGTCTACCCCCCCAGTCCCCTGTGTATGATGATGCGTGGTCCTACCCCCCCACTCCCTGTGTATGATGACACGTGGTCTACCCCCCCACTCCCCTGCATATGATGATGCGTGGTCCTACCCTCCCACTCCCTGTGTATGATGACACATGATCTACCCCCCCAAGCCCTGTGTATGATGACGCATGGTCCTAACCCCCACTCCCCTGTGTATGATGACACGTGGTCCTACCCCCCGACTCCCTGTGTATGATGGCACGTGGTCCTACCCCCCGACTCCCTGTGTATGATGGCACGTGGTCCTACCCCCCGACTCCCTGTGTATGATGGCACGTGGTCCTACCCCCCGACTCCCTGTGTATGATGGCACGTGGTCCTACCCCCCGACTCCCTGTGTATGATGATGCGTGGCCCTATCCCTCCAGTCCCCTGTGTATGATGATGCGTGGCCCTATCCCTCCAGTCCCCTGTGTATGATGACGCGTGGTCTACCCCCCCACTCCCCTGTGTATGATGACACGTGGTCCTACCCCCCCAGTCCCTGTGTATGATGACACGTGGTCCTACCCCCCCAGTCCCTGTGTATGATGACACGTGATCTACCCCCCCACTCCCCTATGTATGATGACACGTGTTCCTACCCCCCCACTCCCCTGTGTATGATGACACGTGGTCCTATCCCCCCACTCCCCTACATGTGATGACGCATGGTCCTGCCCCCCCACTCTCCTGTATGTGACATGTGGTCCCACCCTCCCACTCTCCTGTATGTGATGACGCGTGGTCCCGCCCTTCCACTCTGCTGTATGTGACGCGTGGTCCTAATGCCACTCTGCAGTACTGAGCTCTGAGTCGGTGGCCATCTGTAATCTGAGGTCTGGAATATAAGGACACAACTGAGGGTCCACCTGAAGGGTCCTGCCACTCAGGGGGACTGCCCTGATGGAGCACCTGTCAGCTGTGCTGGGCTGTGCGGGGAGCAGCAGGTGCTGGCTCACCCGGGTTACCACGGCAACTGCACTTACGCTGCCGCTAACCCATCACCACCCCTCCGCACCCCGATGGAGCTGGGCAGGTCCCTGGATCACTCTGCGTGGTGTTGGCGTGTAATACACCTGTCCATCGCCGGTCACCCGATTCCGCGTGGTCAGGCTCCTGAGAACCACTTCACAGCCTCGGATTTGCGAGGCAGTTAGTACAGGCAGGTGAAGATGCCCTTCCAGCTCAGCCCGGCTCACTCCTAACAGCGTGCTTCTCCAGGACACGGCCTCCACCACCAGCCACAAGACACAGCAGAAACCCTCACACAAGGGGCTCGGGCAGTCACGGCCAACACTTCTGCATACCAGTCTTTATTGGGTAGAAAACGCTTTCTGCTGACATGTCTTTGGTTATTATCAAAAGAAAAATATAAAACAGTTGTGGCCTTAACAAATCAAGAGATTAGCTACAAATGTTCGAAATAAACAGTTCACTCCAATCTCCAGCTCACCTAAAATCTGCTGTCCTCCGGCTCCGGCCTGTCCTTAACTACTTGAAAGCAACGAGGAGAATTACAAGTGTGCTTTTTCTCACTCAGCAGGGCCAGAGGAGCTGAGTCTGGTGTGCCAAAGTCACCGATAGGCCTATGGGAAACGATGAACACCTTCCGACCCTCACAAACAGCTCTGGCCTGTGACTTGCAGGGAACCGGGCACTGCTGCCCTGCACGCTGGGATTCCTGAAGCCACGCGAATGACCACGGCCACAGTTGCAGGCGGAGGGCGGCGGGCTCTTGTGACAGTGGCGCATGTCCCTCCTCTCGGTTCCAGGGGATGAGCCGGGCCCTGTCCTTCCCCTGAGCCCTCAGACTGCATTTGGCCCAGTACACGATGGTGCAGTCTGCACTGGGGAGCACACCAGTCAGTGCGCCATGGACGGCCTGGGCTCACATGGAGGGCGGGGGCATGGGGGGTCCACGAGGCCGGGAAGCAGCCTGGGCTCACATGGAGGGTGGGGACACAGGGGTCCATGAGGCCGGAAGGCGGCCCCGGGCTGAGGCGTCGTACTGGCTGTCGGAGATGTCTGTGACCGTGGCCGCCCCTTCATACAGCGGGGACCCAGAGGAGGAGGCGGCGACCGTGTGCGTCAGGGGTGCGTAGTGCCCAGGGGAGCCTCGGAAGAACTGTGCCCCCAGCCCGTTGGACATGCCTGCAGCCTGAGACCCGGGGGCGATGCTGCCGTTGCTCACAGACCACAGGCTGGCGTACTGACTGGAAGGGAAAGCATAAGCCGTCAGAGCTCAGAGGGCACCCCGCGGTGCGGACGGGCAGCAGGTCCTGGGGACCCTGCTGGGGGACTGCACTCGTGGTTTGTCTGCCGGTAGACGGTGCACCCCGCCCTGTGAGGTGTGTACAAGATACTGTCAGCATCAAAGTCATCCGCAGGCAGACTGCAAAGGTCACTTCCATATCCTCGTCTGGCAGTGGTTAAGAGACTCTACGTTGGTAGTTTTTTGTGATATTTTTTGTTTGTTTTCTTTTTCTGAGAGGTTTTTGCCTTGGGCGCATGCACTCACCAGAGAGAGAGACAGAGACAGTGAGAGGGAGAGTAAGAAATTGCCCTCCAGGGGGGATGGCCACCACACCCTCCCATCTC